GAAAAAAAATTATTTCTGATGGCAGATTTGTCCTGCTGCCCTGGGGTACTGGGGGATAATGTGCCCTTTAGGGTCACTTGAAGGATGCTGTTGGCAAAGTGGACTCTGCATCACAGTGTATCTAGCCTGGAGAAGGGTAAGGAGGGAAAGGGAAAAGACATCTGGGATGCAGGGGTTGTGCTGTGGACTCAAATACGATTTAGATGAAATCTGGTTTAGTCTACTTGCAAGAATATATTTCAGTCAGATACGGTACAGGTCTCCTGGGGGGGTGCGTGTGTGATAAATCCCAGCCATCCGCCACCTCCAACTAAGCAAAACTTTAAACAGCAACAGCCTTTTAAGAAAACCTTCTGCACATCACAGCGTCACAGTCTAACCTGCTTTAGCTCAGAACAAGCTGTCAGCACAGGTTGAACAAGCTTCATTTGGCAAAGTGCTCCCGCAGCTCTCCGCCAGCTGCCGGAACAGCTTACCCAGCCCAGAGCATCTTCTGGCTCTCGCGACTTCCAGCGAACGCAAACATTGACTGCTCAGCTGCCTTTCCTCTCCTGCTTCTCCCGTGGCCCCAGGAAGGGGGCCCAGAGGTCTTCCCATGGCTGGCCAAAGCACAGCAACCTCTGCATATTGTCTCCCCTCCTGCACATTGCAGCCCACAGGTGTCAGCTCCTAAACTGAGCCTAAAAGCTCGTTTTGTTAAACCCTTTCCTACAGAAAAGCATCCAGGATGCAGTTTCTGTACCAGGAATCGGAGAATCCTCATCTCCCCGATAGTTTTTCTCCAGTTTGGTTCTAGCTTCCAGCTAGTGCTGCTTCCACTCTTTCTGTGCTTCCCAATCAATAAATCCTTCGCTATTTCAACGCTGCAACCAAGTGTTGGTCTTTGTGGTGTGCTGAGCAGCCTGGGCTTCTCAGGTCTCCTATGGCAAGATGGGATTTCTAGGCTGGGAACGAGGTTTTCTGCATCTCCCCTCATCTCTAATTGCCTGGATCCCACAGGACCCTGCTTGTCCTTTTCCCTGTCCCCCATTTGGGATCCGCTCCATCCTTATCGCCTCCTGGCTGCTGGCAGATTGGGGAGAGCTCAGCCTCTGGGCAGGGCAGGGCATTCTACCACTGAAGAGGGTCTCCTCAGAGAGCAGCTGAAGACAGGCCTAGAGATGAAATGTTTTCAGATGTTCTCTCAGGGTGGCAGAAGTGTCTCACGGAGACAGACGGGATTTGGCTTTTCCTTATGGGGAAAGCTCAGTTCCTGCAGTTTTCGTGCAGAGCATGACGCCAAGCGAGTAACCAGCAATTTGAGGGTAGGGTGCTTGCCTGGGAACGCAGACCTAGCCCGTGTTCATGTCCTGCCTCGTTTTAACAAGGGATATTATTTTGGGATGGATGATTTTCTGGGGATCTCTAAATGAAAGGGTGAGTTACATTACCCCTCAGAGGGAAAACAAAGCTTCGAAAGCTTAAAGCACTTTATGCAAACATTCCTTGGTTTCTGGCAAGCTCAGCAGCAGCTGAGCTTTGCAGTAAGACCAGACGCCTTCCCAAAGGACACTCACCCCCACCGTGGTCCACACTCTTCCACAAAGGACCTGCTGTCACACCGAGGCCTCCTTAGGAGGTTGTGGGTTGCTTACGGTATCCTAAAAACCATCCTCAAGGCCAAGGTGGTAGGTGGTCTGGCATCTGGGGAAGGATCAGCTCTGGACACAGTCCTCATCTCTCATTCACAACAGGGTTCCCACTGGAAAAGCTGGTGGGTGCTCCGTGCAGGTCAGATTAGAATAATCACAGGGATCCCTCCCGGCCCTGAGGTTTTGCAGACAACGTGACTAATTAATCCCCCAGTGCATGTGCAACCCGCTCTGGCTTACTACGGGTGTGCTCTGCAATCTGCCTGCCCACGCACCCTTCTCTGGAGATGCCGGCCCTCCTATGCCAGAGCAAAGCCAACCAAGGCTGAGCTGAGGGCAGCTGGTTCCTCTCCAAAGCCTGGATCTGCTGCACACGTGGAGGGTCTTCACTTACAGCTCAGGGATAGGGGCAGGGTGCTGCTGCCAGAGTCTCTAACAGGATCTGGGGCTGTGCTGCGGTGCTGGCTGGGGAGCACTGCCTTAATCCAGCTGTGCACTGGCAGAAATCAGTGCCTGGGTCACACCACTTTCTTGGGAAGAGAAAAATCACCTCCAGGTCCAACAGCCAGGACTGGCTGGAGGGAAGGAAACTGAACAAGGCTTGATTTTTGCCTTTTATGTCCCTGTGAGCATGCTGGATGGTGGGAGATGCTGAGGGGAGATCACAAGCTCAATGACAGCTACGTAGGTCTGGGTGCTTTGAACAAACCCAACCCAGAGACAGACCACGGTGGTCTAGCAGGCAGCTCAGGATCTGGAAACACATGGTAATGCAGGCACATTCCCAGGAAAAGCCAGCAAAACAGGCAACATTAGGAGAGCACATTCTGCACCATCTCCTTGAAGCCCTGGAGACTGAGATCTTCCCAACTCAACTCACCCACCCCTTGCCTCTTTTTTTTTCCCCTAGCTAGAGTGACTTGCCATGATTGTTCAGAGGACAAGAACCTCCAATAGCTGTTTTTCCATGCCACCATCTCTCTGCAAGTGGTTTCTTCTAAGGATCAAATGATCCAGGTTCTCCTCCCAGCCATGGGCAGCAGCAAGAGGACACTCCTTCCATTACTAGAGATATGCAAAGAAAAGATCTCAACAGAACGTTTTCCCCACCACCACCCCCAAAGTATCAGTTTTCATGAAAACCGTCAGACTCTAAAGTGACTCAAAAGTAAATCCTTCTGCACTGCTTGTATTTCACTTGGGGTATTGGTTTTAGCAGCACAGATCATATAACCTGGCAGATCAAAACCACCTAAATGTTGACTTTGCCATTATGGTCTCTCCCTCAGGATAAATGCTTCCTCCTCTGAGATCAATTTTTCAGTCCAGTTCCAGAGGGGAAAAGCAAACTTCAAAACACCAGCATTTCTCACGAGGCAGCAATTTCTTTTTCCAGTTGGTCCTAATTAATTATGACCAGAAAAAGCTTTAGTTAAAAAAACAAAACAAAACCAAGCAAGCAGAGAGCGCATGTCCCCTCCCCCTTTATTTAAAAGGTTTTAATTTTGTCCTTCAGCCTCTCCACACAGAGCTCAAGTTCCTTTTTCTTTATTTTAAAGCTGGTTGTAATTTCCTCTTCAAGATACTGTTGCAATGAGGAACAGGCCCTTATAAAAATATAATTTTCACCTTCCTCTTCTTTAGGGAAGAGGGAAGACCACTGTAAAGCTTTTGCTCACCCTGTGTGCCAAAAGACTGCAGCCCTCCCACTTCCTCGGAAACCAGCTCCAAACCTTCCTCCCAGATGAACCCCCAAGAGAAATGCCCCTTTGCCTGGCACGGCAATCCTCAAGTTTTGCAGTGGCTGAGATGGAGGACCAGGGATGGATGGTGGGTATAAGGGAGTGGAGATGTGGCAGAGCTTCAGGGAGGGAGCAGGCAGAGGTTGGGGTCTGTGGCTGCTCCTGCAGGCATTGAGATCTGTGGGCTGACCCCTTGAGCCAGAGCTTGCAAGACCCTGCTTGAGTGGTGGGGATGAATCCAGTGGTCTGCAGACATGGGAGTGGGTGGTCCTAGACCTGACCACTTGCATCAGCATCCCTGCAGGGATGTGCTGCACCGCACTTCGGCCCAGCTGGGATGGGAGCGAGGGTTCTAAGAGAAGGAGGGGGTCAGAGAAAGGCAAGAGGGCTCCGGTAACTGTGTCTTCCTTTCTTCTTCCCTTCAACTAAAGCACATTGCCGCCAGCGCTGTTGTCCTGCTCAAGCAACACCCCTGGGTGCAAACAGCACAAAACCAGTGCCACCTCCTTTGCACCTCGGCACACGAAGACGAGTCATTTTTGTTCCTTTATTACACATTGCCCAGGCATAGTAAAGCAGCAGCAGCCAGCCTCCTGACCAAAAGCAGGCCTTGGAGAGCTGTGATTGGAGAGACCTTCACAAGAGATTGCCAAAATGGCAAAGGTTTTAATATTGGGCAAAAATTCTCTTTAATCTGTGAAGTCGTGGCCGCGGCCGACCCCGACTGCCACTCACCGGAGCGACCCAACTCCATCCCTCTGAACCCACGTCACTATCGCACCCCGGAGGAACTTTTTTCTGACAGATCTCCAACCAGTTTAAGACATGTATAAACATTTTACACCCTACAGCATATAAAGCCCTCCCTGCTCCACCCCCAACCTCCCTCCACATACACAGAAACAGAGCATCTGTCTATCCGCCCCCTCCCACCCCCCCAAAAACCCACCCCCAAAGGCATCCCAGAGCAGCGGTGATGCTTCGAATCAGAACTGCAAACACAGGGTGCATCTTTATCTAACCTTCCCAAGCACTGACAGTCTAAACGCTAAGCTGCTTACATGGGCTAATGGCAATGTATCCGTGCTGCGAGGCTTCATCTTTCCACCCCCCCAACCCGCCCACCCTCCTCTCTGCTTCCCACCTTTCTCCAGATCCTCAAATCAATGCTTTCTCACTCGAACCCCTTGGCAGATCAAATACAGTGTGGGCGGTGCGTTCCTGGGGAGCTGCACAGCGTAAGGGCACGGGAGCAGAGTTCAGTGTCCAGCACGGACAAGCTCATCCAGCTGCAGGAATCCCAGCCCAGAGCAGAGTCTGGTGTATCACCCCCCCACCCCTCCCAAAACATGTGCACAACAGTGTCCAAGTCCACTCATCCAGGGAAGGTTGGGAGCTACAGGCGGCTACTGCAGAAGTCGGAGAGAGGGAAGAAGGTTGGTGGTCAGCAGTGGCTACAAGGAAGAGCTGAACAGGTTCAACGTGGAGGAAGGATGAGGGGTGAAAAAAACCCAAGAACAAACTCAAAAGGAGGCAAAGGGGGAAACGCTGGGATTCGGGGCTCGCATGTCTACCTTCTAGGCAACAGCCAGCACAGGAGAGGAAAGGGAGAGTCGGTGTTTGGTTTGTGAGGGGGAGGTTTTTTTGTATGTCACTCACGATAGAAAACATATTCGGTGTAAGAGGTCCAGATCCTGTCGTCTGTCTGGTCGTGGGCGAAGGCACAGGTGCCTGTGGAGTTGCAAGCCACCATGTGGAAGCCAGCATCGGCCAGTTTATCAAAGGCTTGCTCCAGGAAGGTGAACTTGAGGTAGTACCTGGACGTGTACCTCTCCGGGGGCCTGTCCGGGTCTCTGCTCTCATTCAAGGTATCCCCAAACACCTCCTTGGCCAGCGAGGTCTTGCCACAGACCATGATCCGGGCCACCCTGCGGAACTTGGCATCCGTCTGGCTGTCCCTGCCCAAGGTGTAGGAGCCCCGGTAGCCTATGGTGATGAAGCCAGCCCTGCGGATATCAGTGCTGGCAGCACCCGTGCTGGTGGTAACGGCACCACCGGGGCCACCAGCCACAGCACTGGGGAGCGTGGCACTGGCAGAGGTCAGGTTGCGGGTGGCATCCGCACTGGGAGAGAGCTCCTCCGGGTCGCTTTGGCATGGGTCATCGCCCAGCGAGTTCTGCTTGCTGAGTTTGGGGGCCAGCATCTTCACGAGCTCCGGCAGCATGAAGTACTCGGCCTCTCGCTGCAGCCGGCTCCTCTCCGGGAAGTGGTCAGGCAGCACCAGCTGCTGGTCCCTCATGTAATCCAAGATGTAGCGGAAGAGGAAGCCATCCCGATCCACGAAGAACCGTCCCTTGCTGTCACGGGCCAGGGAGCGGACATTCTTCTGGGTGAACATCTCCCAGAGGAGCGAGCCAGGCACGCTGACCAGGGTGGGGTGGCGGGTGATGTAGACTTGTCCGCCCACATTGAGTTCAATGATCTCTGGGAAGGGGATGTCCTCGCTGGGTTTGGCACAGCCCGCGTTGTCTGCCAGGGCCATAGTGAGCTACGGCTGCCTTCCCACCTGCAACACAAAGCAGCGACGTGCTGATGTTAAGTCTGCCAGCAAAGGCAGCTCACTGTCCCACCAACCCCACTCCAGATCGCACTTGCTTTGGCTCAGCAAGCAGTGCTGGATCAGGGTCCCAGTCAGGTTTCTTCCGCCATCCCTGGTTCTTGGAATAAGCAGCATTATCTAGTGCCACCTTCACTTCCGTGGCACAAGAGGTGAAGAGCATTGCCTGTGGTCCGAACTCGCCATCCCCACCTGCATCCCTCCCGACGGTCAGCTCCCGGGCCTGGGGCTCAGCACCTTTGCAGAGGAAGGCGCAGTGATGCCGTTGTGATGTTAACACAGGAAAGGCAGGACTGTCACGCCCTGGGCCTGAGCAGCGACCCGCCTGTCCCCGCATCCTGCCAGTCCAGAGGCGCGTGCCAAGGGAAGACCGCAGTACAGCGGTGTCTCCTGCTGAGCCAGTGAGCTGGAGCGGGGTTGTGGTCTCATGCACGGAGCACCCATGGGTCTGCCAGAAGAGCAACAAGAGGTACCTCTATCAAGGACAGAGACAGTGCCTTTTGGCACTCCTGCTCCATGCGTGCTCCTGGAAAGTGCTCAACAGGGACTGGAGGCCAAGCTGAGAGCAAGTGAGAGATGGCAGAGTCTCTCCAAGGATCTGGGACCAAGACAAATACTGGGCTATGGGTACATCCTCGGGCCAGGAGCCATGTATTTATACATTTTCCAAAGACAAGCTGATCCTTAAGCATCTCTTGCCACTGCAAATCCGAGCTTACATAAACCTGGCTCAGCAGACAGACTCCGGATCCAGCCTGGCCAAGCTCTGTGCATGGATTCTCCCAGACTACGGAGGGAGGGGTTTTCCCTGGGCCCCCCATAACTGCCTGGAGGGTTGGCCTTGAGCGCTGCCCGTTCCCCTGCGTGATGTTCGTGCAGCCCTGGGACTGCTCTGAACTGGGCAGTAACCCCCGGGGACTGGTCCCGCAGCCAAGAAACACCACAGAGTCTCGCCCCGTCCTCGTGTCCTGCCATA